AATGTGCCAATCACCGCTGCGTGGCGCGCTATCAGATATGTGATGGTGTCGACAATTGTGGTGATGGTTCAGATGAGAATAATATGACGCTGTGTGCCAATAAACAGAAACCATGTGATCTTTACACGCAATATCAATGCGCTAATAAGAATTGTGTTGAGCGCTCCCAGGTTTGTGATTACTCCGATGATTGCGGCGATGCTTCGGATGAGTTAGGCTGTCACCACACCAACACCTGCTCGGAACTGACACGCGGCGGTTGTGAGCATCACTGTCACAATCTCACCGATGGCGGCTACATCTGCGCTTGTTATCCGGGCTATATTATCTCAGCGGAGAACAAGAAGCGCTGCTTGGACGTAAACGAATGTATAACGCGCCAACATACCTGTTCGCATATGTGTCAAAACCTCAATGGCACATATTCGTGCTCGTGTCGTGAAGGCTTCCGTTTGGTGGATAGTCAGTCTGGCGTATGCAGAGCTGAGAAGGAGGACATTGTGCTTGTATTCGCGAACGGACCAGAAATACGTGGCTTAGATTTACAGAAGCGCGAGGAATTCGATGTGATAGCAGCCGAAAAACGCATTGAAGCTTTGGACTATGATGCGCAGCAACAAATCGTTTTCTGGGCGGACAGCTATGACAAGACAATCAAACGCTCGTACATGGTGAACGCCTTGGACGGCCAGGCAAAGATAGGTTTTGCGCAAGATTTGAATATGAAAGGAGGTTCTAAACCGACGGCGGTTGCCATAGATTGGCTGGCATCGAATCTCTACTGGACTGAAGTTGATCGCACTGGCTCAAAACCACGTGGTCGCGTTATGGTTGCCAAAACGGATGGACGCTACAGGCGTTCGATAGTAAATGCCGGTCTCGAGGTGCCCACATCCATTGTAGTGAATCCACAACTGGGTCGGGCCTACTGGGCTGATGCCGGTTCGGCGCCGAAGATTGAAGTTTCTTGGATGGATGGCTCGAAACGTCGCCCGCTCATCACGGAGCAAATACGTCACCCTACTGGCCTTACAATTGACTATTCGCAAGATCATATCATTTACTGGGTGGATACAAAATTGAACACCATCGAGTCGATGCGTAACGATGGCTCGCGCCGCAAGGTGATAGTAAAGGGCGATCAGCTGCGTCATCCCATCTCTTTGGACATCTTCGAATCTACCATGTACTGGGTAACGCGAGACTCCGGCGAAGTGATACGTCAAGATAAGTTCGGTCGTGGCGTGCAGGTAATCATTCATCGTAATCTCGTCAATCCGTCCGGCCTGAAGGTCTATCATGAGCAACGTTACAATACATCGCTACGCAATCCATGCTATGAGTCCAGTTGCTCGCATTTGTGTCTGCTAGTACCTGGCGGTCATCGTTGCGCTTGTCCAGATAATTCCGGTCCACTGCCATCGCATCGCAGCACTGCCGAAGTGATTTGTGACGCTGCAGCGGAGCGACCACGTCCTGCGCCCCGTATTTGCCCATGCCAGAATGGCGGTCTATGCCGCGAAGATGAACGTGGCGATTTGTACTGCGAATGCCAGCCTGACTTTAAGGGCGAGCATTGTGATCGCAGTGTAGCCGGCGCATTCGGTCACGGCGGTGCCAATGTAACAGCAGTTGTAGTACCGATAATGGTGATACTGCTGGTGTTGCTGACAGCGGGTGGCGCGTGGTATGTCATACGGAAGAAGCCATTGTAAGTTAAAGATGAATTTCTTTTTCACAAATGTGGTACATAATATTTTCTTCACTTACTTGCAGCGGTAAATTGGCGCGTCTACCGACATTAACATCATCACAAAGTGTTACGTTCCGCCATGGCACAAACGTTGAGTTCAACGCACCTGGTTTTGCAGGTGGCGCAGCGGCGGATCCATCCAATGATGTACCTCCCATTGAGGGCTATAATCTGCAGACCGTGAATACGGCTAAAACGCGTGATTTCTCGAATCCAATGTACGATGCCGTGCAGTCGGGCACCAACAACGATCCAAGCCTGAGCAATGGAACAGGTAAATAAGCAGGGAATGATTCGTTGATTATTTTCAGGCACTTTGGGTTATAAACCCAGGCAGCTGTGAGAAGTACTGTGGTCCATTAAACATCAAGACCAAATCGATGGCTGAGTGGAAGATCGACCTATCTCGGCAACCAGTTCGAAAACGCCCTATAGCAGAAAATTTTTCAACACCGCCCTATTTCAGAATTTGACTGAAAAACGCCCTATCTCAACTGCCGATTCAAAAACGCCCTATGTCAGCACATTTTCAATGTATTTTCGTTTGAGATAGGGCATTTTTAAACTGAATTCTGGTATAGGGCGTTCTTCACAACGAAGTTGATGTAGGGTGGCCAGGTCGGGCATATAGGGCTTAAATCGAACAAAATTTAGTAGGTCAGCTAAGAACTCTAAATACATATCTCAACCAAATTTCGAGCTGAGATATTCATAGTTAGACTTTATGCCAAAAAAATCAATTTTTTGGCTGTAGTCAAATGTGCGCTTCGTGGCGGATTTTCGGTTCTGTAAGAACCGTTTTCGGTTCTTATGAAATGTGTTTTCAGTCTTTAGGCATTTTTTCCGGGTTTTCTGAGACCATTTCTAATTCTTCCGGAACCGTTTTTCGGGTCTTTTGGAATCGAAGAGTTTCGGTTCCGCTAGACACGTTTTTCGGTTCTTATAAGAACCTGACCGATCGGTTCTCTAAAGGACCCGATTCCAGCTCCTCGGTTCTTCTGTGCATCATATCGCACAGTATGGAAGTGTCTGAGATAGTTGCATGTTTTTATTCAGCAAAACAGCTTCCCTTAATGTATTTCAAACCCAATTCATGCTCATTCTCTCACATACATCGTCTTTTTGNCTCTCACATACATCCTCTTTTCATTTTATACTCCACAGGTATTTACGAAGTGCCACATGATCCCTCCAAATCGAAACCGATTGGTCCGTTTACCGAACCCGTCTCGGCCATATTAGCGCCCAGCAGCATAACACACAAATCATCACCGCAATTGCAATTGCGTACCAGAGAACTGGATCCATCAGCGGATACCGGCAAGGATACGCAGTATCTTGTTGAAGAGGATAAGTCTGAATGCTGATATAAAATTACATAGAACGAAATTCATCACAATTACCAGCAACAAATGCAACAACAACACCACCACAAATATAAAATCAACAACAACAACTACAGCAAATCAAATGTAACGAGTACATATTCCAACTATTGTATACAAACGAAAACAAAAACAAAAACGAAAAGAAAACAACAAACAGACATATTTACAACGCTTTAGATACGAAAGAAAAAGATTTAAAAAAAATATAGAAAAAATGCTTGTAAATTAATTTTGTGTAAAAAAAAAATATTAAAATTAGAAAATATTTAGGTAAAAAACAAACATAAAAAGAATACAAAATACATATTTGTTAACTAAGAAACAGGAAATTTTTCTAAATTTTATAACACTGAAAGCAAGAAAAACCCGAACAGTAACAACCAAAACTAAACGTTTTATAAATTATGCTGCTTTTATAATTTTACAATGTAGAATATTGTAAAGGTAAAAACAACAACAACAAAATAAGAAAAACGGCAACAATAAGTGTAAAGAACAGCACACCGCGTTAGCCAAACATATCCTTTTTGTGCGCATGACTATACATATAGTCCGGCTTTTTGGACTGATAACAAAGAAAAAAAAGCAACTCCCAAAACAAAAGTGTGAAAACGATGAAATGCTAGACAAGCGAAAACTACTGATGCAATTATTAAATATTAAGTTTAATTATATACATATATATATACATACATACCACACACATACATAGAAATACATATTTTAAAGCGTATAAATATGTATGTATGTCAAAATCTTAAACTTTGTTTAGGCCACGTATATGGCGTTTATTTTATTTTTTTTTACCCATATTTACACGCTCCTACACCACTGTATGTAACACTACCAAACATTCCAAAGCACTGTATTTTACAATCCAAAAAACCACTTACGCTATGACTACTATTTTGAAAAGTGAGAACAACAACAACACATCACATTTTGCTTAGTTCTGAGGATAACGTATACTAATATTAATATATTTATACAAACATACATACATACATGCATATATTTTTCTGATTGCTAAATGACAATATTATTGAAAAAATAAAAAATAAATAAATGTTTATTTGTATTAAGAATAAAATAAACTAATATAACGAGATGAAGAATGTTGCATGATAATAGCAGAAATGTAAGAAATAAATGATGAAAAATTTTATTAAAAAAATGCAATGAGAGTGTTTTGAAATATATTTCCATATATATTTTTCTATATAAGGCAAGAAAAATGGCAGAAAAGAAACACAAATAATGGTGTAAAACTAGCAGAAAAAACTCAAAAACAAAAGCAATTTATATTTAAAAAAAAAAGAAAAAGAAAGCAAAAACAATTTTTTTATATAAATATATTTTAAAAATGTTTTAGATTAGAAAAATCGTTAAAGTTAAAATGTGTCAGCAAGCCTAATGCCAACTCTTTATGGGGTTTTTAAAGTTAAGGCAAAGCGGTGAAAAACTCACACTTTAATGGCGAGAACAGCTCCCGATCATACATATTTTATATGTTGTTGCTAATAATTGATTTATTTTAAAAATACACATACATATATAAAACTTATTAATTAACTATTATTATTATGATTATTATTATTATTGATAAAAATATTTTTATGTATACATACATACATACGTGCACATGTGTGTATTTACGTTATATACTTTTTTTATTATTATTACAATTATTCAAGTGAAATAAGAAAAATTAGCATGGAAAATACGATAACGAAAACGTTGAGAAACAAGCTTAAGAAAGACTAAGAAGAAAAAGCAAAAACAAAAATAAGTTGTGTAATTTTGTATGTAATGCAATAATAATTATAACATACATATGTATTTGTTTTTAGGCCTCGTGTCCAAATATTTAGTGTCAAAGGTTTTTTCAAATAAGATTTTATGAAACATAAAAAGTGCAGATGCGTAGACTATTTCTTTTTATATAACGATTTTCAGTTTGCAGAAGTAAGCTTCTCTTACAACCAATTTTCTTCAGCTTTAAACGGTTTTAAAAATTCCAATATTCCAACTAAAGTTTTATTTTTTTTTAGTATGAAGAAATAAATCTGAAATTTCGAAAAATTAATACAATTTTCATAATATCTGAAAAAATTCTTGTAACATCCTTTAAGTTTACCAAAAAGATTTATGGGTCATAAATTATACAAAAAAAAAAATCAGAAAAATATTTTTGTAATAATTTTTTACGAGCATTTGCAGTATTGCGAAGCGCGTAAGTACCTAAGAAGTTTGAAATTTATATACAAACATACAAATAAATTTTTTAAATTATTTAAGAAACAACTGTTACATTCCAAAAGTCCACTAATAGGCCATAAATTTGTCCATAAATTATTTTAAAAATTTTCAGAAAAAAAGCCAACAAAAAAAATTCAATACTTATTTATTAAAATACTCGCAGCATTCCAATAGTCAGCTAAATTCATTTTTGCCCACAAATTATTTTCAAAATTTTCAGAAGAAAAGTTAGGCAAAAACATTCCAAAGTTAAAAGTTATATATTCAAAATTTGCAGAAAAAAATATGCAAACATTAAATTTTCTTAGCAACTGCAGCATTCCAAAAACTTAGTGAAATACGTTTTCTTTACTAAAAGTATCTTACAAATGTTCAGAAAATGCCCGAAGTATAGGAATTTAATACATCGGAATTTTCAAATAATTTAAAAACAAATGTTATACCCGAAATTTTTCTTGTCTAAATCCACCTATCTTTTAAATTTTCGCAACAAAATCTACCAAAGCTCTCAATTTTTCAGTCAACCGCTACGTTCTAAATGTCTATAAAAACTTTTTTTGTCAAATGCTTACATGGATGGATACCTTAAAGTTTTTCAGAAGAGAAGTGCGAGTATCTAATAAATTTTGAAATATTTTTTAATGACATTTGTAATATCCCAAAACTCTGCTAAAACTCTTTGTAAAAGTTAAAAAAAAAACACACTGAAAATGTCATAAATGTATAATATTATTAAATTTTCCATTAGTTTAGCCAGCACTTGTTTATAACCATGTCTTTTGATAGCCACCAATCAATTTTTGTAAACAAAATCACACAAAACTAAAAGCAGAAGTAAATACATACATATATTTATACAAAATTTCATTTAGTTAAACAAAAAAACCTTTACTGATTTTCTCATTTGCAATACTAATTGTTCTGTTTATTTGTTAAAGCAAAGCTTTTCTTTAGTTTAATTCAATAAATAAATATATATATAAAAAGATAATATCTAATTTGTATGTGTTTTTTTTCTATAAAGGAAGAGAAATAATGTCGAAATTGTATTACAAATCTGTGCTTCCTTTCATTTAAGAATGTTAGCATAATTTAATACTAGTAAAGAGAAATGAATATTAAATAAAAAAGGATAATTTGTTGAAATAATAAAACAAATAAGTTGTTTTATTTCAAAAGAAAAGAACAAAATTTCGACAATGCAAATTCTTACTTTTTCCCAAAAATAAGCATAAAAACCAGGACTTAGGAGCGGAGTGGGGCAAACGAGCAAGGCGCTAAGGAGCAAAGGACTTTAGCTCGAGCGGAGCTGTAGCAAAGAGCTAAAAAACTTAATTTGCTCTTAGCTCCTTAAAGAAATTTTTCAATATTTTTTTTTGTTATTTTCTGGCTTAGTAACGATTTATTTTGAAACAATTTTTTTGGTGTTTTTTCAAAAAATTTTCAATAAAAACGGCCTCAAGCTCAATAAAAATTTAAAAAAAATCAGTTAATAAATTTAGATAAATTATTATTTACCACTGAAAATAACCGTGTTAAATAAATCTCCATTTATTTAATTAACTTGAAAATTGTTTACTTTTCTTTTGGATGCAGAAGTGTATACATATGTCTAGATGAAACATTCATCCTTAATCAGCTCGTGTTCCACGACTATACATACCTGCTTTCTCGGCGTACATCTGAAAATGTTCCAAGCACAGAAAATGTAATTTAGAAAAAAATTTAAATGCACTTAGCCGCGCAGTTGATTTCCCAGCTCAGCCACTAAAAATGTGTGATTTTCTTATCTATAAAATAAACGTGCGTGGGCTTTAAAATTAGTAACAATAATAATTTATGGCTAAATATACTTAATAAATGTACTACACCTTCGGCAGGTTGTCGACCAAGAATTCCTCGCTATATTCAAGAAATTTCATGCTTTATAAATAGAATCTGTATTTAATATTTTAATTAAAATGAATGTACAATCAGTGAATAATCAGATTGTTTTAATAAGAAACCCGTTGTTCCCGCACATTTTGAAAGCCACTGTACATTGTGGCATTTTGGTCACTAGCACAGTTTGAGTTGCTTGTAATTAGGCAGCGGATGCCAGGTTGCCATTTTGGCCGAATTGTACGATTTTTGGTACATGTTATCTACTTTTGTATACCTGCACAACGGTGAAATTAAAATTTCACACAACATTCAGATTTGGTAAAGTTTTGAAATCTGGTAAAATTATAGGCAACTAAAATGTTTGCAAATTTTATCCGCATACATTTTTTGGGAAAAATTAGTAAGAGTCGGCGTAGAACCTCAATTTTCCGTATGCAACATTTATGGACATAAATCAAGAAAAATAAGGAAAAAATGGCGTGGCTCGCGCGGAGTTGCTTGCAAAGGCAGCGTGTGTTGTAACTGGCGGGAAATAGTTAGGAGATTTCCTTAAACTCGTGAAGTCTTAAACTGTGCGAAACTCGCAAGTTTACGAGGCTTTTATGGAAACGTTCCTTTTGTGAAAAGGTGTAAATAGGTGCGTAAAGTGGTTTGACAGATCAACCAGGATTTGGTGAAGCAATTTTCGTTTCGTAGTATTTTCGATAACATCCCGCCATCTTGTTTCTATACTTAAATACAATTAAAAATGCCAAAAATTTGCATAAAATCTAAGTCAATAGAGTAAGCGGATGAAATTCATTCATTTTATTCGCTTATTATTTTTTTTATTTATTTTTTTTTCATTATATTATCACACGTACAACAATTTTGACCCCTCGGCAACACTGAAATTTACGAGGTCGTTTGCGCATCAAATTTGCATTCAAATTTTGACAGTTCTTTTACCAGGCTCGTAAATTTACGAGCTTTACGATAAAATTTGGAGGCTTTTACGAGTTTAAGGGAAGACCCCTAGTACATTTATACATTTTCTTTAAAAATTTCAGGAGTAGGTAAAGCTAGTATTATTGTGCACAAAATTATGAAAATATTTTAAATATA